TCATCGGGGTCGTAGGACAGTGAGCCGAGGTCTTCTTCGCACAATTTAACAGACAAAAGTCTCTCGGTATCTGCTGTGGCCAGTTTACAAATCCCTTTCATCGGTCTTCTCGAACGAAATTAAAAGTACCGCAATATTACCTAATGCAGCCAACTAAATCATGGGATTCAGTTCAGCTATCTGAACCAGTCAGATCATTAAGAGATCATGCGGGCGCAGACTCCATAACTTACCCCTCAAAGATATGGAATCGGATAGAGTAATAAGATCTTATATTTACGTTAAAGTGCCATCACCTAATTCTCGGTCATCATATATTCAGGTCGAACAGAGGCCAAGGCGTGTGCATCCAGCGCAAGTTGCCTGAACGGTGGTACCTGTGTGGACGCTGGCGACAAAAACAACTGTATCTGTCTGCCCGGATTCACCGGAAAGAAGTGTGAGGTAAATATCAACGAGTGCAACACTATGCCTTGGTGAGTTCTGTTTTATAAATATCCGATCGAAAGTTGATTCAATAATAATAATAATAATGCTATGCTTTCAATAAACTTGGGAAAACAGACAAACAAGTAATAATCATACTTAATGAACGGTAGGGTTTTTCATCAGTATTATATAGCCCTTTTCGGGATTATTAACCCGAAAAGTAATTTAGAGTTAAGAAGTCAAGCTACATCCCTAAGAGTGGACAAATCACATAAGAGGCAGCGAATTACAAATTTGTCAGTAGTATCTGTCTGCTTGTTTTCCTAAACTATTTTCTATTATAATAGCAAAATATTTTCAATTTCGAATAAAAGCGATTTTAAGACTTGCAGCATTTTTTAAATATTAGTATATGAATATATAAATTTATTTTTCTCGATTTAAATAAACGGCTATCAACGACACCTACTTCTCTCTATTCGAGTGTTAAATATATGCGTTTTGTTTGTTTCAGCGTTAATGGCGGTACGTGTCGAGACTTGAACAACTCCTTCGAGTGCCTCTGCCCTCCTGGCTTCAGGGGCTCGGACTGCCGTATTAGTAAGGGTCCATATTGACTTAATCTGAAAACTATGTTTACCCCAGGGTTGTTGACGATAGGTTAAGGAGCTATTGCATCAGTTATTGTGCAGAACGCTTGTGTGTGCTTGGCATAACTGGCTAGAGGCTACTACTTTGCTGGAAAATATTTAATTAAATGAATAAAGTAACTGGTTTTCGAAAAAATCTCTTACATACCAAATGTAGAATTTATTTTTGTATCGCGTAAAAATAACTGATGAAAAGATTCTTAAGTCGATAGTAACATATGCTAATGGTGTATTCCCCTTCTGTATTTTTTTTTCTTTTGGAATGATGTTCCTATTTACACAATTCTCAGAAGATCTTTAGTTCCAATGAAAAAATATTAAGCTTATTCCATTCATATGACTCGACAGACTTTAGCACAACAGGATACCAATCTTATGGCGAATTCAAGTTCTCAATAAGTCAAAAACACAAATTGGCCATCCAAACTTTTTATATAGACTTACGCAAAAAAAGAAGTTCGGGAGGTATAATAGGATTTGATTAGTCTATTTTATGTTAAGATATTTGTCTTTAGATTTTTGCATTTACAGGAGTGT